AGAGCCATATATGCTTAAAGGATTCTTAGATACAGCCAGAAATTTGGGCCATGACAAAAAAGATGTGAGTCCTTCTCCTCGGGTGAAGTCCAGTATCATAGTAGGGACCTTGATGGAAGAGAAATGTGAATTGTGAGGGCTGACACTAAGCTGGAGTGGTTTTAATATCGTATCACCAGCTAGTGTGCATTTTTCACCTGTCAAAATGACAATATTTTTTTACCTATCTGTGTATTCAGGCTAAGACATTAAATGCAAGATAGCAGGACTTGGCACTTTCACTGTATTGGCTATGGATTGCAATATTCCTATTGTACTTTTGCTGCGGGTGCACTCCCCCTGCATCTCAAATCTGCCTTCCTCCTTCTAATATGAGCTAAAACATAAGATGACTTCTCATACACAGGTGCTAAATATGTCAATGACCCACAGCTGCACATGTGAAGGGCAGGTAAATCTTCACTCAAGCAAAACTCAAAACTGATCCTGATTTGACTATTTTTCTAGTGACATTAAAAAAAATAAAGAAGCTTTGCTATATGGATTTTTTTAGTGTGTTAGTAATGAGTATTTATGAATAGCATTTCCTGCTTTAGTAATCAACTTACATAGGAAAGGAAAATGAGTATGTGACAAATCTGCATCTTATTTACATTTTTAATATTACATAATTCTGAAGGTACCAGTAGAAGCATATAAATGAAGGTCTTGACAACAGTCCTGTACAAAATGCAGTGAAAATCCTTTTGATGTTTAACTAGAGGAGATTGCAAGGACATAAATTGAGCAGTGGAGGGTGTAGTTATAAAACATACCCCACCCACTGTAGAAATGCCTGGGCTGTTCTTTGCCTGTGTTTTAAAGTTCATATTAATACATCTCCAATAACAGGTTGTTCTTGTTCTGCAGGTAATAAGTTGTCTTGTCATGCAGTATTTTACCACCAGGTATAAGAAAAAATCCAATGGCTCTTTGCACAGCTGAATGCATGTTTACACAGCATTGATTCCAAAAGTCACAATACTTCACCCTCATTATTCAAATGTGATACTGCTTGAGACAGCCAGCACCTTGCATAATTGCATATAAATTTTGCATTGCTTACTAATAGTCTGTTTTTAGTGCTGTGATTCTGTGCTTTGCTATCATGATACACAGAACATGGACACAGTGTGTCCTTAGTTCAGTAAGTGCTCTGGGTTATCTTTCAGCAGCCACCAATTGCATATCCACTGCTCCACAGTGTTGACTTGTCTTGATTTAAGCACCTCCCAGAGCTGTTATATGTGTTTGCAAACTGTTTATGTAATTCTAGTAATGACCATGGCAGACTGCAGGCTGCAGATTAAAGCACAAAACTACAATTTAGTTCCTTAACTTTTGCTGATCTCCAGTAGGCTTTAAGGTGGAATTTTTATTGTGGTTTTTAGATCTTTCATATTTTCTGATCTCAGTTTGATTAAACACTTTGTATTCACATTTGGCTTGGAAAAAGTATATGATTCTTTTGAATAGCAGATTCAAACTTGGAGATGAGAAAACTGGTAAATTTCATCCTTAAAACAACTGGGGGTGAAATCTTGTCTGTTTAAATCTGGCAACATTCCAGTAATTTCAAGTGAAGCTATTCACCTCTACTACTTTACATCCTAAGGTCTCTGTAAGTTGTTGCATAAACATTATGTAGTTATACAATGAAAAAAAAAAAACACTCCCATTTGTCTTTAGAAAAGGGAAAATCTTCACCTAAGGTAAAATCTTTGTTGCCAGCTTTCTGAGGGAGAAGCTGACAGAGGTAATCCAGCAGTGATGGAATATTCTGGGATTAATTAGACATGTCCTAGATACACACAAGAGAGTATCAGAGCTGACCTAAATGTTGGGAGGAACAGTGTCTCTATCTCCTGCTTTCTTCAAATCAGCCCTGAAACCAAAGACTTATCAGGGCAAGTTTGGAGAGCCTGTTTGGATATACACCTGAAAGAGAGGCAAATTGTTACATTCATTTTCACTCATATTATAAGTCCACTTATTTAAATCTAAAATGTTTTGAAGACATGTTCACTTCTGTATTTAGTCAGTAAGAAGTCATCTAGGTTTTTCCAGTAGTTAGCCAACAGTCTACAAAAGTCCTGCTATAAATCACCATACTTTAATTGAATATGAAATTTTCCTATAATTTCTTCTTTGTCCCAAAGCACCATTTGGAGGAAAAAGAAAGAAGCAATTAATTACACAGATACTATGTTCATTTTGGGATATATACAAATGTCAGAGTTGTTGATAGTAAATCAGGAATGAAATAAACTTCACTTCAGCCTAAGGTTTACAGGAGCAGCTTTCATTACTCAAAGGATCAAAATCAGTGATTCTTCAGTTTAATTTGAAATAATGTTAATTGGATTCATCTTCTGCTCTATAAATATGCTTTTCAAGTTGAAACAAGTAATTTTTTTTTTAAGGACAAAACTGTAAATCAACCTTTTCCCACTTACTCTGTAAACTCTAACATCTAAACCTAAGAGATGTCCCTGATTTGATCAAACTACTCAGAACAAAGATTTAGTTAAGCCAGAGTAAAAATAGAAGTACAGTCTAGAGATCTGCTTCTTGCTAATTGCACACACCCGGGAATTTAGAAAGGTTTTTAATTTGACTACTCAGCCAACTAGTTTTTAAATCATTGCAATTTATCTTGAATTCACCCCAGCAGCCAAGCCCCACACAGCCACTCACTCACTTCCCCACCAGTGGGATCAGGGAGAGAATCAGAATGGTAAAAGCCAGAAAACTCATGAACAAAATAATAAAAAGATGAAAACAGTTTAAGGGGGAAAGCAAGGCCAAGTATGCAAGCAAAGCAAAACAAGGAATGAATTCACTGCTTCCCATGGGCAGGCGGATGTTCAGCCATCTCCAGGAGAGCAGGGCCCCATCACATCTAATGGGACTTGGGAAGACAAACACCATCACTCCAAACGTGCCTCCCTTTCTCCCTCTTCCCCCACTTTATATACTGAGCATTATGTTATATGGTCTGGAGGTCAGTTTGGGTCACCTGTCCTGGCTGTGTCTCCTCCCCAGCATGCAGGATGAAAAGCAGAAAAGGCCTTGGCTCTGTGCAAGCCCTGCTCAGCAATAACAAAAACATCTCCACATGATCAGCCCTGTGTTCAGCCCAAACCCAAAACACAGTCCATGCCAGCCACTGGGAAGAAAATTAACTCCACCCCAGCCAAAACCAGCACCCTGGTATATATTAGAAAAAGGGAGGTGAGTGGCAGTGAGCTGAGAGAGCTGGAAACCTGCAGCATTTGAAGATGGATGAGATCCTGCCATTATCACTCTTACTTGTCATGGATGACTGAAAAGCAGTGGAGTTTGGCTTGCCAAGATGATGACTTTATTACAGTTCTTCACTTTCATTTCAATGTCTTTTTGACATGTCTAATAATTTTTTCTCTAAAGTTGGTTGGGTTTGGGGTTTTTTGGAGAGTTGGGTTTGTTTGGGATTGTTTGGGGTTTTTTGCAAGGGGATCTTTTTGTTGGTGGGTTTTTTGTTTGTTTCTTTTTTCTTTTTTGGTTGCGCTCTCAGTTTGGGAAAAATATGGAAAACATACTTAAAAATTGAAAGAATTATCTACATTGATACCTGAGCTAAAGATATAAAAGTTATAAATAATTTCATTCATACCAAGTAGGTATGTCTATCTGGAGCTTTGAACCTGAGAAAAGGGAAAACTTCCCCAGAATTCTGCACTACATGGTGTACTAAAGCCCTTATGAAATCTATTTCATTATGATTATATTTAGTAGAAGACTTGAATGTGTGCAGTGTTATGATACAACAGTTGCTATTGCCTGTAATTCCCACAAAACATGCCTTTTATAACAGAACTATTTCATTGAATTACTAATCAATACAACTTGGTGTCAGACGATACATAATAGATATAATCTACGGTTGGAGAATTTCTCTCCAAATGGCAGCTTACTAAGAAAAGAGGCTGCTCAGCCTTGTGGTGTTTGTTTCCAACCACTAATAACATCAAACTCACATTTTATAAAATCTGCCAATAATTAAGAAAGCTCGGAGCTTCAAAAGAAGAATTCATTGCATTTCAAAAGCAATGCTTTTATGATTCACTGCTACTAAGATCCTTCACTTCCAGTTACCAATTTGTGATATATGTCACAAACTTTATATGGCTAACAGCAGTAGTCTTGCTATCATTCTCTTTTGCAGACAGAATTCCCATTCCCCAGGACCCCAGTTTGAAAATCAGTCTGGCAGAACTCTACAGTGTTATTCGGTGTATAAATCTATCTGCTGGCCTGGTCTTTTCCAGTAATTATTCATGGACCTTTTCTGCACTTATGTAAAATGAGGTAGGCCACTCTTTCTGAAACGGTGACTAAGCTAAGGAACAAAATACATATCCTAGTTTTAGCATCTAGTAACTGTTGTACATCCACAGTTTTCCATGTAATCAATTTTAAGTGACTTTTTTTATTTGCCTGTGAAATTTATAAGGCTTTATCTTATGCAAGTTTGACATGTTGACTTTATTTAACTCTTTCAATGCTTTACAAATGCTTCATATCTTCAGCAGTTAGGTTTTGTTTAATTTTGAACAACATGGCAGACTATATCCTGAAAAGAGTTGTATCAAACTTATTGAAGGTTTGTAGCTGATAAATGATATTGAATTGATAATACTCAAGTTGACAGTTATTTGCTAAACTGTTAACAGTTTATCACTAAATAACAAAATTCCTAAGAAATACAAAAATCTAATTAATCTACAGGTGTAAAGTTTTCCATTTTTTCTCTGCAAGTCACTGTGGTTCTTGTTCAGACTAACAATTTCATCAAATTAACTCCACTAAAAGTCTTTTTGAAAAATAACACAGCATCTGAAATTGTGGGTGTTTACAACATTTCATTTTTTCAGCATAACAGAAATTGCAGCAACCTATTTCAATATTCTCTGCTCTAGATTCAGGAAATGATGCAAGTTTAATTTCTGTTTGAAATGTTCAGAAATATGGCACCTTGGAAAAGGAGATTTTCCAGACCTGAGACTGGTCTCAGTATATGACTACTCATATTTTGTCTGGCTCAAAATACAGGTAAGTTTTTCTGAAAAGTAATTTTAAACATATATATATTACTTTTTAAATGGCAAAACCATGCTCAGAATCATTCCATTTCTTCCCATACTTAAATGAAACGCCCACATAACAGACCATCCCATCCACTATTTTAATGAGATCTAAATCTGTCAAGGATTGTCAACACTCATCAGTGTGGATATTTTTAGGACTTGTAGGTGCAAAAGAACTTAATTTTTTCTAGACAAAAGCAGTATTAATAATACAACATAGTTCATAAACATTGACTGGTACTCATTATCAGAAAGGGCAGCTGGAAAAAAAAATCATTTTACATTCCAATCTTCAGGACATTGGTAGACTCCAGAGCAGTACAATAAATAATGAGCTTGCTTACTGCTGTTGTGTGGGAAAAGAGAAGAGGAGCTGGAGGTGATACTGCAGGAATAAAACAGACTAAGTAGGCATGACAGGAGTATGGGGGCTAAATGTAATGACAGGAACTTCATAACACATTCTTCATAAAAGTGACAGGAAAAGCAAAGGAGGTGAACAGCACTCTGCCAAAAGCATCTATTCAAATGCTGAAATAACGAAGGATAATTTTTGGTAGGACATGCATGGCTAAACTGCTGGCTTTAAAAATGAAGGATAATTGAGAATTCCAGGAAGAATGGTACTAAAGACTGGAGATCATGAGCACAAAACAGTGAAGATTAAGCAATCATAGTCTAAGTTGCAAAAGCATATATTAAGTACTCCCTAGAGGCACTTGTTTGATTAAAGTACTTTTAAAACTATCTCAGAAATTTGGAAGAATTTAAAATCCTTTACTTCAGTACATTTTTGTCAGCTCTGAGATTAAATATACACACACTGTAAATATTTAGGGCATAACTTTATATTCATCATAATGTACACCAAACTGTAGCCTTTGGATTATTCCTAGCAGTGACCACCTCATTAATCCAGAATCTCTCTTCAAATCCTTCAGTGCTGCAGGTGGTGTCAGAAGGGAGCATGAGCTTAAAATAGAGTAAGGGAGATCTGGTCAGGCATCTTCAGCCACACATTGAGTTCCTACCTTCTCAGATGAAAACTAGGGAAGGTGTGTCTTGGATTCCACCAGGACACACCAGGACTCCGATATGCAGTACTAATAAATCTGCTGTAGGGCTAAGACACTGCGCAAGCTCTCTGTAAGTGTCAATGGCCAGCTCACCTTAGATCCAAAGGAACAGTGTAGAAAACAGCAAAGGCTTTGCTCAGAGATGACCATCTAAATGCAAGGTCAGGATGGGAAAAGAGATTACATGGAGCTGGAAGGTTTCACTAGAGCAAAGGCGTTGCTTGTGTTTAGAGTATTCTGTTTAGGAAGGGAAGTTACTTTCTGCCAGCTGGCATTTTCCAACACTTTCTTTAATCAAAGCATGACCAGGTTTGCTGTTACATGAAGCCTAGAGTATATCATGCAGGGAAATACTGCACTTGATGAAGTGCTGGTAGTTATATCTGGAAACATCTAAAGAAAGTGTAACTGTTTGAGGTCTAGAATCCATTTGTCACGGTTTAACCCCAGCTGGCAGCTAAGCACCACTACACCTCACACACTCACCCCCAGCAGGATGTGGGCGAGAACTGGAAGGGCAAAAGTAGGAAAAGTTTTGGGTTGAAAAAAAGATATTTAAATAAGTAAAGGAAAAGTCATGCACACAAGCAAAGCAAAAGAAGAAACTCATTCACTCCTTCCCATAGGCAGGTGCGGGTTCAGCCATCCCCAAGAAATCTGGGCTTTATCACACCTAATGATGACTTGGGAAGACAAACAACATCACTGCAAATGTCCCCCTCCCTTCCTTCTTCTTCCCTCACTTTATATACTGAGCATGGTGCCCTATGGTCTGAAATATCCCTTTGGTCAGTGGGGGACAGCTGTCCCAGCTGTGTCCTCTCCCAATTCCTCATGTACCCCCAGCCTCCTGTCTGGCAGGACGGGGTGAGGAACACAAAAGGCCTTGATTCTGGGCAAGCCCTGTGCAGCAACAACCAAAACATCCTGGTGTTATCCTTTCCAGCACAAAACCAAAAAGTCCCATACCAACTACTCTGAAGATAAACTCCACCCCAGCCAAAACCAGCACACCATTGCTAATTTCAAAGATTTAATTTCAAACCTATTTACATGACAAAAAAAAAATAGTTGTGTTTGTGCTCTCTGCACTAAGTAGAAGGAAAATTTGGTCTCTGAAGTGCAGATTTTACAAAGATTGTCTATGTGTTGATAGAAGACAACTCTCAAATGAGCAAAATGTGAGGTTTTATGTAGAGTGAAGCCTTCATAGCAGCTTGTTGTACTATGGAACTTCGTAACACATGATTTTCACCTTGAGAGGTACAAAAGTCTGTAGGAATTTCCTTGCAGACATTGTGTTCTGAACAAGCAGAGTAGTTTTTTGTGGCCAGATATTCAGGACAAGAGTTAAGGGGTAGATCCACATCCAGATACTTCTCCTGTGTGAGCAACTGCATGAGGTTTTGACACTGGTTAGTGACCCTGCTCCCAACACCATCCCCCAAATCCCCAGCAATAAGGCAACTGCATGGCTTAGGGGATTGGTAATCGGATACCTCACCTCCAGGTCATCCTAGGTCTCTGGTTCAAGAGCAGCAAGGCTTTGTAATGACTTAAATGCCATTGCATATTTATTTGGAGTCATACATGGAGAAGTGAACATATGATTTCTATGTGAAAAGCAGTAGGTGTCCACATACAGATACAAACATTTTGACAGTTGCCAGCCTGTTTGAAACATTTGAATTACTAAATATCAGTCTAACAGAGATTTGAATAATTCCCTAATAACAGATTTGTGTTTGGCTTTAATACTGTCTTTATAGTAAAAGCATCATGGTTTATCTTTATTTATATATTATGTACTTATTTTACTTTTATATATACTTATGTTTTTATATATACATTTATATTTACTTACATTTTGTCACTAAGTGGGACTAAAGCTTATGTTTAACCCTCCATCTTTTTCTCTCCAGGTTGTAAAAGACTTTGAAAAGGGGTTTTGAATAGTACTGGAGGCAATCCAAAGCCAAATTTAATTTGAATTTTCTGTCTTAGCTGATACAAATTCAACAAGAGTGAAAATATATTCTATAGGTCTTCTTAGGCACTTTACTACATAGAAGGAACTGTAAGTGCTTCTTAACGGTAAGAATTACAGTTCTTAATTCTTAACGGTAAGAATTTGAAACTTCAGCACATCTTTAACAAGGATACAATTGAAATAAAACACTTCCAAGGTCAGTATTAACCTAATACTTCTGGAGTCAGACTGCATGGCCTGAGCGTGAGAAGAAAAAAAAGGTAGATGATGCTTGCTGTTGAGGAATCAGGGCAGGAAGCTATAATGGTCAAAGAGAAGCATGACGCCTTCTCCAATCTGCTGTCATTGGTGGCCCCGGCAAAGAGGGGCTGGCTGGCATGAACACCCTGTCCATTGGCCCGTACTGCCTCCCAGTGGGCATCAGCTACTTCTCTTTCTGGATAAAACCAAAGCAGGGGGTTTAAAATTCCTGGTACAGAAGCCATTGTCCTCGGATAGCTAATGGGGGAGTTCACTGACAGCGAGACTTCAGGTATGTAAAACCAAAACAACAAAGCTCTTCATCATCTTCCAAGGGTGTAGCTCTCTGTGAAATCACAGATGCTTGGCTTATCTTTGCCTATGGCTTCAATGTAGAATATACACTTCCATCTGAAAAAAAAAAAAAAAAGAAAAAAATCTGGTTTCGGCAGGCAGCCTTACAAATTTGATTTATTATCCTATCAAGTTGCTCTGTCCCCACCACTCTCAGCTCTGAGGAGCAGCAGCAGAGCAGTAGCACATCTCATGGCTGTATCCTCCATGCAGTGCTAAAACTAACTTTATTTTTCTTCTTGCTTTCTTGAGTGTGCTGAGAGCAACAGCACAGGGCATTAAAAAGGGATGCCAAAAATGAAGAATGAAACAACATGAGAAAAGAGCATTGTTTGCTGCAGTAAGGTCTCCACTGAAGACTGCAGGAAAAGTTGGGGAGATGCTTCTATACTTCTTTGACAGCCTACCAACCTTCCCAGTTTACAGCCCAACTTGCCTTTTCCTTCTTGGCTCAGCAAGCCAGGGGATCTCTTCAGACCTGGGCACCTCAACTCTATGTGTTTCCCATCCAAAAAAATCCTAAAAGTCCCTCCCAGCACTATGCAGATGTTGCTATCTACCTGAAAACAGTCACCTAAATTTTTGTGTTGGGATATACGTGTGGCTGCTGCAGCTGCAGACAGGGAGAGGGCTTTGAGGAAAACAGTTCTGTGCTCCTGTGGAAGTCACAGGACTGTGCAAACACTTGTAAGTATTAGAGCTGTTGCTCATGCCTTAAACACTGCATTTGTCTATGTCTCATACCTTGACCTTACAGAATAGAGAAGGGAAAAAAAAAAAAAAACCAAACACACACAGTGCTATAGCACAAGTTATATGAACAAATACTTCTGTGGCTAGGTGTGTCGAATTACAAAGATCACTTAGGTGTGGGCAGTTCTTTCCTCCAGAGTTATCCTGTTCAAGGTGTAATATCCTGTTTTGTTTCTGCAGTCCTTATCATTGAAAGTTCAAGATCCATGGATCCGATACCCTCCCGGTGCACATAAGAAATAGAATGGAAAAACATCGGAGCAAGGGCATAGTATTGAATACAGTGAAAAAAAAAAAAAAAACAAAAATAGTATTACATTAGAAGTACTCTGTTTTTGCATCACTCTGGTTTTTGGAGAGCTTACATTACCAGGTTTCTGTGCGTGTGTACGTGCACGTGTGGCATTCCTTCAAAGCAGGAAATAGGATGCCTAACTTTTAGTGCAGAAAATTAGTAACAAAATAACACACAAGGTGTGGGGCTGATAGCATCTCTGTAATCTTGTACTTAATCTGCTATCCCCAAGAAAAATCTGTTGACTTTCCAGGTCTACTCTGCCCAGGCTGCACACAACAATTAATGGGCCTGCGTTACCGTACGCAGCTCCTGAAGTTAAACGTTTGCACCTTAATTTTTACAAATCGGTGCCCAAGCAACGCTGCCCACCCAACCGGGAAAGCCGAAACGCCACCCGAGGTGTCCCAGGGCTCCCCCGTTTCCCGGAGGGCGGCAGGGCGGCTGGCCGCAGCCGCGGTCCGGGCGGGAGCAGGTGCACACGGGAGCGCACGCCAGGCGCCGAGCCGGGGCGGGGGCAGGAGCCGGAGCGAGCGGCGGCCCGGGGCGAGGCGCTCCCGCCCCGGTGCGGGGCGGCCACGTGGAACCGCGCGGCTCCCGCGGCAGCCACTTCCTGCTCCGCATCACCCCGGCCGCTGCGCCCGGCGGGGAGACGAGCGCGCAGCCCGCAGCCTACCGGGGCGGCGCGGGGGAGGGAGAAAAAAGGAGGGGGAAGGAAGAAAAAAAAAAGTTTGTACGTGCGGCGGCGAGAGGACAGCCTCCGCAGGCGGGCGGCTGCCGGAGAGCAGCGGCGGCCGGGGGAGGCGGGGGAGCGGCGGCGGGGCCGTGCCGCGCGGTGCCGCGGGGGACGGAAGGCGGCCGGTGCGCGGGGCCGGGCGCTGCGTGCGCGGCGGCGGGAGGCAGAGGGCGGGCGGGAGGATGCGGCTGAAGCTGGGCTTCCTGCTGCGCGCCGTGCTGCTGGCGGGCAGCTTCTTGGGGCTGCTGCTGCTCTGGTCCTCGCTGTCGCCCCGCGCCGAGGAGCCGGATCTCCCGGGACGAACGCGGGTGAGTGCGCGGCCGGGGCGGGCGCGACGGAGCGGGTGGTGGGGCCGCCGCCCGGGATGTGACCGGCGGCGGCTGCGGGCGGGCGGGGGGCGGCTGCCCGGGCTGCGGCCTGCGGAGCCTTGCAGGCCCGAGAGGGGAGCGCGGAGTGGCGGGGCCGGCCCCATCCGGCCCCCGGAGCCGGCGTCCCTGCCCGGGCGGCGGGGCCCGGGGGCGCCGTGTTCCGAGGGGGCTCGGGCCGAGGTCCGGTCCGCGCCGCCCCGCCCGGCTCGGAGCAGCCGCAGCCCCCCCGGCCGCCGGTGTCCGCCGCCGGTGTCCGCCGCCGGCGCGGGGCTGCGGGCAGCGTCCCGCCGGGGCCCGTCCGTCCCCGGGACCTGCCTGCCGCCGCTGCCCTGGGCACCCGAAACGCGTGGGGTCGTCTTCCCTTTGGGGGTTTTCCATCCCCAAATAACCGCGCCGGTATCCCCTGCGGAAGTGTCCCGCGAAGGTCCCCCAGAGCTCCAACAAAGGGTGCAGGTGTTCCCTCGCCAACTCACCTAGCTGCCGCGGGTCCGCTTCCCGACGCTGTGCTGACCAAAGGGCAGGTTTGGCCAAGACGCAGCAGATCAGGTAATTTAATAGCAGCGCACGGAAAGCCAAAAGGCGCTGGATTTACCCAGCTGGTGGTACAGGTCTCCCATGCCGAAATGGTGGGAGCACAGGTGATAGGTGAGGCAGGCAGAGCTTCAAATAACTTCCAAAAATGCTACAGAAGGTCAGACAAACAAATCTACAGTGTGAGTCTTGCCATGGCCTTGTATTAAGTGAAAATAATCTGACCCTTTGACACCAGGGTCTTAGAAGGAGTCAAAGTAATTCTTCCGTTTTCACCAGATGTTTTAGAGCTCAGGAACATAACTGGACTTAAGGAGATCTGCTTGAAGTAAGATTAGCCAAGATTAAAATAATCTTGGTAAAGTCATAAAATTTTCCACTGATTATCTTAAAAATGGATCTTTTATTAAGTGTTTGCTAACGATCTTGGACCTCTCTAATGGGCTACTTCAGATACTTTAGATAATTGTGTAAGGCAAGTGAGTTGACATAACTCTTGTTTTTGAAAACTGGAAATGACTTCGGGCTCCTTCAGCAGATGCTCTGCCTTCTGAAGGTGTTACAGTTTTTTTTGCTGTGTCTTGGCAGTTACAGCTGAGATAATAGGCCATGGTGGTTTTTTTTGAAGATAAGCAGTTTATTAAGTGGTGAAGTTTCTGTAATCTGTTCTTCTAGACAGAACGTGGGATTTTCTGTGTGTGGAAAAATCTTTGGGAATTTATTTGTATACCTCTGAAGAAAATGTGAGGCAGTAGACATTTTGCATGAAAACCAGCCAAATTCCTTTTCCTGCTCAGGAAAGGACTGTGAACAGACATTTGAAGGGACAATCTCAGGGGAAAAAAAAAAGTGGTTGCATTGCTGTGTAGGGCAGTGACCATCTTCAGATGCTTATTCTGGTGTGACCACTGAAGTATTGTAGCCCAGTGTGCGTGTGCTGTGTCAACTTCCTCAGGTGCTGTAATGCATCATGCTGTCCTTTCTCATGAGCCTAAAGGCTTTTGTTCGGAGACTTTTGAGCTGAGCCCTCGTATCCATTTCCATTCACTTGTGAGGTCTAATTCAGAAGTCTTTTTTAGCTGGTTTATGTACCAGTAAAGGAATTGCAAGAGTGTTTACTGTCCTACCCCTGATAAAGCGGCATTCTGTCTTGATTACCTGGTCCTGGCCTGAGGAGGAAATATCCATGACAGCCATCTCAGGAAATAATTCAGTCTTTGTTGAGAACAAATACAATTATATTAAGAAAACACTGTCAAAGATGAAGTCTAAATAGACTATCTGATTAATTAGCTAGATCAGCTATTCACTTGCCTTTGTGATATATATGAGAGTAACACATGCTGCTTCATAATTTTCTGTGGAACATTATTGTTATTACTGAATTCATGTTTTGGGTTGGAGTGCTTTCCACCTCAGAAGCTGCTCAGGTAAGGGATAGGAGTTATGAAACAGTAATGACTGTGTTTCCAATTAGCAGTGTTCTGGCATATTACTGGGAAGCTGTCAGAGCCCAGGAATGTGTCCAGAGGTTGGGACCTGCATACCCTGCATTGTGTTAGGAGATGCTGAGCTGACCCCCTGAGCTGAGCTTGGAGTGTGCTCACCTGGGAACAGCGTGTGCCTTGGTACAGCTTCAGCATAAGGGAAGTAGGAGTTAATCCTAACCGCTTCTCAGAAATGCAGTGGTGTGCTCTTTGTTCAGTCGTAAAAACGTGTGTGTTTGCTCTGTTGTCAGTTACCCAAAAGTTTGTTAAGCTAAAGATGACAAATCTTCTTCCCGTACAACACCCTCCTCCCTTTTCTTGCACTAAAAGCTCTAACCAACAAATACGAAATTCCTTGTCAGACAGTACCAGCTTAAAATAGAATTTAGTTTTTTTAGCGAACTTCAGGCGGTATCCTTTTCCTCTCTGCAGTATTACCCTAGGCACTTTTTAATAACACCAAAGCATTAAAGATGCAAAGATGAAAAGATATGCTGTGTTGTTCTTTTTTATGTTTATAGCCTTCAAAGTTTTCCTGCCCATAGCAGCAGACAATAGGCAACACAGAAAATCTTTTAGTGTAATAAATATGTACCTTTAAAAATTATTCTTTCAAATATTGTGGAGGTTTTTAACTGATTTAAAAATTTTCAGAGGTCTTTTGGAAAGTAAAAATTATTAATGTACAGAGAGTTTTCAAAACAAAAATGAAAGTGGAGAAGTAGAAAGGAAATGAGAGCAAAACAATATAGCAGTATTACAGATAGTTGGAGGTAGTGCCTTCCTTTCAATAGAAGACTCACTGATGTATATGCAGAAGTTGGGAGGACAAAACTGTTCTCTGGGTAACCTCACTTGGAACTTCCTCCAAGAATCCATTTGAGGAAAACATGCTTGTGGGCTTGGAGTGACAGATGAACTATTCATTTGCATTGTCAGAAATATATAAAGACAAACTAACTCTTATCCTTAAGAACTTTCAGTTTCCAATCTAAATCAAATTGAAACAATGAAAATATATCAAGGTCTGTTCTCAGAGTCTTAAGTGCACATCTGCTTTTGTGTAAGTAAGGATACCTGCTATCTGATAGTAGAGATTGCAAGACTGTGAGAAAAAATTAGGTGGAATCATTGAATTGATAACTATGTTCTGTCTTTTGGATGCTTTCTGATACCTTCAGGTCTTCTGGATCAAGGGGTCACAGTTTCTGGAGCCAGCAGGAAATGATTGTGATCACAGAATCAAAGAATATACTGAGTTGGAAGGGACCCATTAGGATCATCAATTCCAGCTCCTGGCCCTGTGCAGGACACCTCAGGAGTCACACCATGTGCCAATCACACCACTGAGGCCATTCCTGGTAACAAGATTGCTGTAGGGATCCCAGCTACGGTATTTGTTGTTCTCCAGCGAGATGTGTTACTAATGATCAGCCTCAGAGGTGCAGCCTTAAAGCTGCTGTTGTCAAGGAGTAGGTAGTACAGCAGGCAGAACCAATGGGCTGAAACAGTAAAGAAAGATTCGTTACTGAAAAGTTGAAAGCTTGTTTACAGGAGTAAATGTACTGTAGATCAACTTTAACTCTCCAAACCTGACCAATTACAAATGACCCTATTCATTTGTCTATATGAAGGACAGTAAGGAAGTATCCAGTGTGTTCCTAGGGTCCAGAGGGAGATTAGTAAGGTAGTAAAACATTTGCTGAAAGTGTGTGCCTGACTTTGCACAAGGCAGAAATGTAGTGATGAAACTGCAAAACCCACGAAATAAATTCCATAGTCTGTCCTGTTCACAGGTGTAATGAGGAGAACTTCCTGAAAATTTGGCACAGGCTGCTTGGCCTGCTCTGGGAACCTGGTGCTTCAGATTTGAAGCATTGCAGTAAATTCAGCATTTTCCATAGCCACTACACCTGAGCCACCAATAGACTTGCCATATATTGAAGGCATTTAATTTTGTGTCTGTAAGTGACATGATTTTACTGGGATTTTGTTTAGGTCTTATTTGTTTACCAGTAGTTCACAGTCCAGACTTTCTGGACTGTGTTGCAAGGGTTTTTTCAAAGTGTGCATGAGTATTTGGACAACAACTGTCCCCTTCAACCTACCAGCCCTGCAGGTGTGCACATCTTGGGTACCAGATGTGCTTAACAGGAGGTCAGTCTCCCACCCTGAGATATTTGCACTCCCATTTCCCTTCCAGAACAGTTAACTGTCCTTGCTGCCAGATGTCACAGCAGCCATGCCTGAGTGAGGGAAGAGTGGTTGCCCTTGGACAGGGAGAGGAGGCTTTGCTGAGTGCCCTGGTCAGGTGACAATTCTAGCACATCCCTCTAGTTCAGGAAACCAGATGATGATCTTGCAGCTGGGGCTGTGGGCCTTCACCAACTGCCAAGCTGAAACATTACAATTCCCACATGGCCAATAGAAAGTGGAGAATTTATGATGTGGAGGCAGAAGCTTTAGAAAAATAAGAAGAAATAAAAGCTGAATGGACATTTTTTCTGAGCTTTCTGGTGACGCCCCTTCTCCTCCACTTTAACAACTGCTAATATCCTGTATACCTTGGCTTGATTGTCACTGAGATCTTAATGACAAGTTGCAGACTGAACTTGAAGTGTTATTGTGGTTTAAATTAGATTCTTTGTGTGGAAATCCCAGAGGAAATTGTTCACTTTCCCTTAAGGAGTAAGTGTGCTTAGAACAGAAACTGAGACACAGGAATTTGCTGTTGATATCATTACTGGCGGAAAGGCAGGAATTGAAATAAGGTGAAAAAGCTGATGTAAAAGGGGCAGTGGTGTTCAGTACTGAAAGGATTCGAGTTTTCTGAACTTGGTAAAAATATGATGCGTAGTGGTATGACAAATGACATAATAATGACAAAATAATCTCTCTCCAATTGCTTTGTGTAGTTATTTA